TTGTTTGCATTGTTTTTGAAGGATTGATATTAGCCATCCCTACATTTACTTCTTTTTTTAAAAGTTTTTCTTTACTTGTTTCTTTTTTAATGCAATGTTTCAATAAAGCATAGAAAGGTTCTATTTATAACCAAGTTCTAAATACAATGAGGTTCCAACTAATGTTTATTGTTTATCTATTATTGGCCGGTAATTCTTGTTTCAACCTGTACCTAAGCTTTTTAAAGGAACACGATATTTCTGTAAAAATTCTAACTTCAAGGGATAATGATAACATCGTTTACACTAGAATTATGATTTTTTTGTTTTTTTAATTGCTACTAGTTAATAATACAAAAAAAAGCGGATACCTCCGTTTGAAACTATGCAACCTGAGTGAAATTGGTTGACACCATTGTTTTGGTTTTGAGTTATCATGTAATATAAAAGTAGCAACAGAAAGAACAACAAAAAATTCACACTTTTTACTATGATATTTAAGACATTCCCAGGACTTGTGGCTCAGTCATTGCATAGATATTATTATAAAAGGAGACACCGTGTAGTATTGTAAAGTTCTGAAGACCCATTGAGAAGATAATTAAAATATCATTTCGATGAACAATCCATGTCATCCCTATATAAGCAGTGCTGCCGTCTACCTGATATAATAAAAACTAAAAAGATTATGGATGATTATATTGATACTGTAGTTCGGTACAGTATGAGACAGAGACTACTGGTAATGTGTTAATTCCCAAAAGTAAATAAGTTATCAACACATTTTATACATACTGAAAGGAAAGAACTCGAAATTAGAAATATCATAAAAACAGTGGTTATCAGATAACTTACACGCATTCTGGTTGTACATCAACAATAACCAAAATATCGGCAACACAATGATTTATTCTACTCCTTTTATGAATTATTTGCTATTACTGGCCAAGAGCGCATCACGTGGGCAACAAATCGCATCAATGTTGCCCGGTTGTCAGGGTCGTTGCCATGTACGCGTGACGCTGATTCATTTAGACCAAATTACAAAAAAATTGTTCAAACCAGTAAAATGAATGTGGACAAATGATTTCAGTGACTCGCAGATGAAGAACCGCAGGGTCTCGTTACAGAAAAGGACAGTAATATTGCTAAATATACAAAGGAACCGAAAATGTATTTGAGGAATACTACAATGCACAGTGGGTGAGAGGAGATGACAACGTCGGAAATCTCACCAGCATTCTAGGCAAATTTTACGCTGAAGTTAGACAGGTGCGTTCTTTATACGTTTATTGCAATTTGTAAACACGTGACAGTAGAATCGTATTTGTTATCTGATATTCAGTGAAAGATTTATTGAATTAGTGTAACCAATCCTCGATTAGTTTATTATTTCTTACATAAATATTATAGCTATCTACAAAACGGGTCTATGCCCTTCTACGAGTTGAAAAAGCATATACTGAGACAATGGAAATCGAGTTTTTGGTATACATTTCACCTTCTGCCTGAAAATGGAAAAAAAAAGATGAGGAAAATTATAAGGTCTATTGAAATTTGACTCGCAATCTGAGGGTCGTGGGTTCAAATCTCGGTTCCACCAACCATGCTCGCCCGTTCAGCCGTGGGGACGTTATAATGTGGCGGTCAATCCCAATATTCGTTGATAAAAGAGTTGGCGGTGGGTGGTGATAACTAGCAGCCTCCCCTCTAGTTTTGTTTGTTTTGAATTTCGCGCAAAGCTACACGAGGGCTATCTGCGCCAGCCGTCCCTAATTTAGGAGTGAAGTTAAACAAATTAGTGTTAAAATAAGTAAATAGCTTGATGTATTTAAAAATCATAAATCTAAACCTAATTTGTCTTGAATTAAAGAAAATTGATAAAAATAGCAGTTCACAAACTCAAATTAGTTAGCAGGGAAACTAATTAATTCGTTTCGGTTGTTGTTAAGCGCAAAGCTACACAAAGGGTTATCTGTACTCTGCCCACCACGGATATCGAAACCCGATTTTTAGCGTCGTAAGCTTGTATACTTACTGCTTAGGGTGCTCAGCTGTCATGTCTGTCATATCCCACCTAACTTGATGAGCTCTGGTATTGTTCGAAAAGCTTCGTCGGCACCGAATATCGTAGATACAGCTTTATTATCATATTTTACGTATTTCTCTACTTTCAATCGTAAGTTTTTAAACTAACCATAAATACATGATTGTTATTAGCTCAACTTCTAAACCCAAGTTCTCAAACAGATACGGAAAACATTCTTGTTGCATCTTCACTACTTTCGCTCAGTTCTTTATCACCACAACGGTTCTTATAATAATATAGTTTCAACTACCAAAGTATTTTGTTTGTTTTGG